AAAAAAATTTTTCTGTTTAATTTTTAATTTTTAAAATAATATTTACGCATTATTTTGTATATTGCCAAAACATCTTGTGTATAATTAATTTATTGCTTATAATATTGCTAAAAATAATAATTTTTTAAATTAAATTTAAGTTCATCACATTCTTTAGTTTAAATTTTTTTTTTTTCAAAATTTTTAACTCAACTCTTAAAACGATCACTCACTAGTAATATTCAGTCCATTGCTCTTCTCTTATAATTATTCCCAATGTTGTAACTGATTCCCTTGTTGTACGTTTTGAATCCTATACAAAACGTATACCGGCTGCGCCAATTATGTTGTGTCTTTCTGTGAAAATGATGTTGTGTCTCCACTATAGACCACCCAAAAATAATATACCCTTTTAGTTTAGACTCAACGACTTTATTTTTTTTTTCTTAAAAAAAAACAATATTTGTATTGCTGCTGCTGTTGTTGTTGCTGTTGATAATGTTGCTGTTGTTGATGTTGTTAATGTTGTTGCTGTTGTTGATGTTGTTGCTGTTGTTGATGTTGTTGTTGCTACTGAAAATGTTGCTGTTGTTGCTGTTGTTGATGTTGTTGGTAATATTGTTGTTGCTGTTGGTAATGTTGTTGTTGCTGTTGATAATACTGTTGTTGATGGACTCAATTTCACTTTTTGTTGTTCTATGTTCTTTGCTTTGATTTTCTCTTATTACTTTGTTATTTTTGTAATTGTTTCTTTGAATTACATTAATTTTTGGTAATTGTTTGTTAAATTAAATTAACTGAACATGTATGATTCGATTTGATAAATTAAATAATTGTTATTACTAAAATAACTCAAAGGGACAGAGTGCGCACGCAACTCCAGTCTCCAGAGTGCGTTCGCAACAGTCCACCCATGTTTTCACCTTTGGGAAACAGTGAAAACATTGATCATGTGCATAATGTATGATCGAAAATTTCCATTATTTTCTGCGGTTCTGCAGAAAATAGAAGCTTAAATATTGACCTAGTTACCTGTTGGTAACTGCCAATATTTCGAAACACACAATTCTGCATAAAGAATATTATTGAGTTCACTGATTGAACTCAATAATATTTGGAAATGAAAACGTTTCCGCGTTGTATGCAGAAATTGTTAAATATGAAAATGGGTCGTATTAACAATTTACATTACGTACCAAGGAAAAAATTCGTAACAAATTGTTAATTAAAACTCTAGGGTGTCTAGTTGAACTAGATACACAACAGTGTGCTTACTGGGGTAATAACGGGACACTGTGCCATTGCACCTATGCTCCACCGGTGGCAAGTTTCAACAAGCGAATTATGCAGGAGTTGCCAAGATGAATAGGAGGTAGAATCTATCAATCACTTCCTTTGTCTCTGTCCAGGACTTCAGACAAGGCGACTTTAATGTCTCGGGCATCGCTTTTTCACTGGCTTGGAAGCAAACTTATTGGATCTCCTCAACTTCATCTGGAAAACCAAATGATTTAACTAGGATTACAAAGGTTAACAGCTTGCCTCTCCCGGCAAATTTTTTTGAGGGCATCACAATGGGCAGTATACCAATATACCAATATATATGGTATGCCTCCGAGTGAGAGTGCTGGCAATGGTCAGCACGCACCTTCCGAACCTAACCTAACCCCCACGGTTTTGGATTGCATTTTCTGCTAAGTCGAGTAGAGGTGCATATAATGTGAATTTCTCCTAATTTCTTAGAGAAATAGGATAAACGTTTGGCATTAGCTCATTGACAGCTGATTTGTACTTTAACCTATCCTATTTATTTATATTTTTGACATTAATGAAAGCTTTCAAATTGCAGGTAACTGACCCATTAACCACTACAGTATATTCTAAAATCACTTGATCTGAGAAGGAATATAGAGTGGAGAGTTTCCATTTCATGACAGAATCATAAAGTCTGGCAGTAGTAATAGTGATATTAAGACCTCCTGCCTGTTTTTAGTAATAAAAGTTAGCCTGTTGCCATCATTATATATAAATAGATCATTACTTAGGATATAGTGAAAAACTAAGTGACCTCATTCATTTGTGTTTCACACGCCAAATACCTCATTACGAGTATGTTTTTTAGCTGCGTTAAAATCCCGGAGGTAGTGCATTATGATCATGAGTCAAATATAAGGATTCTGCCCCAAACTTAAACCAAAAAAATTAGAAAATATTCACGCACAATTATTAAAAGATGACACAAATTAGCAGGTCCTACATTTTGTGATGACATGATTGCTACGCATAACAGGAAACCGACAAATAATGTAAATAACTAAAATTATAAATAACTGGCAGAAACAAGATTTCTTGAGTGTCATAGGACGAAATATACAGACGAAAATAATCATTATACCATAACTACTGTTAACAAACAAACAATAAATCAGCATTTTAATGACACTGTGGCAGTAATTAAATACAACGTAGAAGAAAACATAACCAAATCAAAATAAAGAATATGTTAGTAAGATTGTAAGACATTTATTATATATTCACCAAAAGCGAAAAATTAGACTTAAAAAAAAACACTACATGAAATATAAGAGGCTAAGTACAAATTTTACCGTTCAAGCATTCGTACTGTTAACGAAAAATTCCAAATGCAAGTCATCGGCATACCCATAGCTCTTGTACTAGAACTATATTAGTAACCTATCTATTGAAGCCATGCATCAGGCTGGCGGATGCAGTCTTACACTGCTGTAGGTTAATTTGTTTGGCCCACATCATTATCACAGTGGTTTGTGAAGTCACTAATTTCCATATTAAGAGCACTATTCTCATTTTCGAATTTCAGGAAATGATCGTCGACAAAGCGATAGCGTGTACCTATTGTCTCCTTTTATATGAGCATCAGAAGAACTGTGATTTTTCCACAAATATTACGGGGAATTAGAAAAAGGTTATCCGAAGAAAAAACTATTTCTCTTAGAAATTTGGTTGAATGTACAAATTCGTATCTCTTGTCGTTAACATAAACTTCATTCTTATGGTAGATAACATAAACTGACCTAACCAGAGATAAAAAAAGACTAGTTTTGTAGCATAGTGTTATTTTCTGCGGTTTTGAAAAAATAGTTATTTAATATTTAAAATAAAAGATTTGCCTATAAATTTCTTGTTCTGTATATTACGAGAAAAAGAAAACGTGGAATTACAAGAACAGAAAAACAAATTACCAACCGAAAGTACTTAAGTATTTTAAATGAATAGCTTAACCAAGAACGCATCATTTTGAATTGCACGCGACACAGCGGACTCAACTTCCGATATGGACACAACGTCATTTGAGACATTTGGCTGATTTGTTCGAAAATGTCCCCGAAGACCATTATACATTTTTATGGATAGGTTAAAATAATGCGTCCTCAAGACGTTTTTAAAAACGGATTGATCCGTTTCCAGTTAGGGCCTCTAAAAACTGGTTTCTCGTCCGAACAAGAAAATATGATTTAAAAAAAAATGATATAATAGTAGGTTTAAAGCAAAAACAATGGTGCCATATAAAGCATGCTATACCCATGTATTTATACTGGTATATGGTATATACGAGAAATTGCAAACTAAGAATTCTATTGTTTATTGAGCCAAGTCTATTTGTTCTGTGAGTTGATTAGATGCTATAAGGATGAAGTTGTAGAGTAAGCTAAATCCGTTCTTAAAGATCGTTCCAACAGTGTTTTTTTAGTTAATAACTATTGTATAAATATGTAATATTAAAATGAGTTTGAAGGGGATAGAATGAATATTGGAAATTAAATAAATACGTTTTAAAAATTTTTAATTTCTTGTCCAGTTTAACAAATCTCGTATATTATCCACTAGAATGCGAAACCAAAAAACCAAAATTATTTAGTCGATTTCATTTGTCTATTCTAAATATGTAACATTTATTTATAAGATTTAATGGAATGAAAAAAATTGCATATGTGAAAAAACTTGGATGAACATGTTTTACAGTGGCTTTTGAAAAATAATTAGTAATTCTTATTCTTAATAAAAGTTACTATTTACAGAAATATGCGAAAGCATGGGACTCTACATTAAATTTCAAAATATAACTGCAAATAATAGTAACAGTGAACGTGTGAACAGTATTAAGGCAAGGCTTTAGCATAGCTAAATAATTAACAAATTAATAATATATAATCCTGATTTGAAATATGTCTAGAAATAATAGTAACAGTGAACGTGTGAACGGTATTAAGGCAAGGTTTTAGCAAAGCTAAATAATTAAAAAATTAATAATATATAATCCTGATTTGAAATAATAGTAACAGTGAACGTGTGAACGGTATTAATGCAAGGCTTTAGCAAAGCTAAATAATTAACAAATTAATAATATATAATCCTGATTTGAAATAATAGTAACAGTGAACGTGTGAACAGTATTAAGGCAAAGCTTTAGCAAAGCTAAATAATTAACAAATTAATAATATATAATCCTGATTTGAAATAATAGTAACAGTGAACGTGTGAACAGTATTAAGGCAAAGCTTTAGCAAAGCTAAATAATTAACAAATTAATAATATATAATCCTGATTTGAAATAATAGTAACAGTGAACGTGTGAACAGTATTAAGGCAAAGCTTTAGCAAAGCTAAATAATTAACAAATTAATAATATATAATCCTGATTTGAAATAATAATAACAGTGAACGTGTGAACAGTATTAAGGCAAAGCTTTAGCAAAGCTAAATAATTAACAAATTAATAATATGTAATCCTGATTTGAAATAATAGTAACAGTGAACGTGTGAACGGTATTAAGGCAAGGTTTTAGCAAAGCTAAATAATTAACAAATTAATAATATATAATCCTGATTTGAAATATGTCTCGACATACATATGTCACACCTATAGAAATGTCATTTTTGTCATGCCAAAAGTCGATGTTTAAAAACTGTCCAGGAATTCTAATAGAGATTTGATGAAATCCTGCGCAGTAGCACCCAAGTAGTAGTATATTGAATCGAGCAATACGAAAAACATTAATTATGGTGTGTAGACAAACTAAAATTGTTTAAATTGGAAAAAGTTCACATCAGTTTAAACTTTAATAAAACATAAAAAGTTTCTACACAATAAATTTTTTACACAAGAAAGTAATGTTTCCGATTCGTTTATGTAAATAAATTATGTTTCAAGCATTCAGGACATGTTTTTTCAGATGTGTATACGATAATAGTTTTGACTACGTGTAAGTTGAACACCGGTGATAGAGGTTAACTTTTAAAGTTTGTGTACGTAAAAAATGTTATCCTATAAAATGTAAGCAAACCAAAAATTTCTGTGCTATTGCTTTCTTCAAGAAAGCAAATCAAACTATGGTTCCCGGTTATCGTATATATGTAAACGTTCTACAAGACGGCGTAACTAGTTTCAAGAATAATTTTTGATTTGCTTAGAAAAGAATAATACTTTATATATTTTATATGAGTATCTCTATGAGTCTCGAGACGAAATCTACTAAGGACTTTAAATTTTGATTGTAAAAATTAACAATTTTATTAAACTAAGTTCTGTTTTAAACTAAGTTTCAATAATATTATATATCGTTTTTATTTTGCTGTATTTCAGAGTTTCAACTATCTATTTTGTTATGATTTAAGTGAACATCGTCATAATAATGAAAAAACTGTTATTTAAATTAGGCCCAATTTTTTGTTTACTTTTGAATATAAACATATATTTTCGTGACATTCTTGCAGATACAGTAGCAAGCACAAATGGTACGTACTATTTAATAATTTTTGCAATATTACCTATTGGTGCCAAAAAAAACTAATATTTCACTTATAGAGTTTCTAACTATGGACGGACCATACTTTGATGATATTAGTCCACGAAACGTTACAGCCGTTGCCGACGACACAGTTGTATTGAGGTGTAAGGTTAAAAATAAAGGCAATAATACGGTGCGTATAGAGTATCTATTAAGTCTAATTTTTGACTTTATATATCAAGTTTTTCTTATTCGTTATAGGTATCATGGATGCGTAAGCGTGATCTGCGCATATTAACTTCAAATGTTTACACATATACAAGCGATGAGAGGTTCTCCGTAATACACCCTGAAGGAAGTGATGATTGGGACCTAAAAATTGAATATGGACAAACACATGACAATGGCATATACGAATGTCAAGTCAACACTGAACCCAAAATAAATTTGGCAATTGTACTCGATATCATAGGTGAGCAGTATAAGCAATGAATATGTTGCCGTTGACAATCGATTGATTTTAATTATAACGATTGATATAAGTATTTTACATTACTATCTTAGGCTATTCTGGTATTAGGTTTTTATGACAAATAAAAACCATATATTAATATAATAATATGCATGCAATTAACATTTTAAATTTTAAACGTTACTTTTCAAAGAACTATGCAGTAAATATATTCTGAAATTAATAATTGACGCCTCTTTGTTAAAAAATTTAAACTGAACGCTTAAACTGAATTATTAAATATAACATCACTTAAAATAAATTAAAAATAACTTAAACATCGAAGTAAAATTAGAACAAAATAAACCGTTTCTGCGGTTAATAAACAACTGATTGTTCAAGGCATAAATATAATTCGAGCTTATGTTATCTATATAATTTTTAATATTTATAATGTTTCTGATGTTCTCTTGTAATCTTAAGCCGCTGGTTTCTGTCCCTTCGGCAAAATTTCCATTTAAAAACAATTTTTCCAAAATATATTTAAAAATAATAGGCAAAAAATAAAAGCAGAAATAGCATATAACATACATAATTTGTTTTGATTCAGCCAGTAAATAGGTATAGCGGAGAGACACATTTGTTCTTTAAATACACAAGGATATTTAACAAATACTACGAAAATATACTCCCAGAATGTGGAGTAACTGACATCCACAAAAGGAGCATATGGCTAATGAGCATAGCGGACTCAACTATTGTTGACAAATATGTCGACAGAAGCCTTAAATATTTAATATACTCAGAGTATAAAATAAAAAGATCGTGGAAACTAAAAGTAAGACAACACTAATGACGAAGAGACATAGTGATCAATGCTACAAAGAAATTGATATGGTAAATCAATGAACCGCAACATATATTCTTTTCACCTGCGAAACCACTAAACTTAGCCTAAGCATATTATACCCATTTATAAAAATTGAAGCATCAAAAGTTTCAAACCAAATAAGTTAGTGTTAGAAATGTTTCATTGGGCGTACAGCTGAAGCTTGGGCGGTAAGTAATCCACAACAATTCAATGAGTATCTATGAAAATAATTCGACAAAGATAAGCACTCAGAAAATAAACCTGTTTGTTGATAATTTCAGTGAAATATTCACACCTAACGGGAGATCTAATAAAATAGAAACTATTTCGGTTAGAATGTAAAATCGACATTCCAGTTGTTAGTTCATTAGAGGTATACTATTAAATATTTTCTCGGAAATTAAGGAAATCACCAGAATTTGATCTCATAACGACAGAAGGCCTACGTGAATTAGCAAACAAAAGCTTAATAGATATATCTTACTCTGAGTGTTAAAATTATGACTCATTGCAGTTCTCTGATGTCTACCCACCAATTAGGATTTCGAAAAGCCACTTATCAGTTGACCAACTACGCAAAGCCGTAAACAAAATGGATTCTTGCTCCGTCGTCTTTCTGGATATGTCACAAGCCTTCGACAAGTTATGACATATGGGATTTACACAAAAATTAAAGGCTAGCTACCAAAACAATACTGCACTATATTGTTGTTCTCTGGTAAATCGTTTGTTTAAAGACATAAAAAATGTGTGATTTAAGAAAAATAACCCTAACTACCTGTGCTTCAAAGTACTTTTGTCGGTCCCATTTTTATTGTATACTGCATCATTCGCAGATGACACTGATTTCCTGGCAGTGGTAAAAGCAATTGTAGTGCCAATATATAAATTGCAATTGGCTGTCAACTCCGTTGGGTTCTCCATTCTTCAAGGTATGGGCACCAATTAACAGACTTCAATACAGTAATGTAGTGTACGAAATTAACTGCAGAGTCAATAATAATGAAATCATCTGTTCGTAGCTTAAAAAGGATACAGTTAACATATTATCGAATAGTTCGAATTATGTTTATGCATTAAAATTAATAATTAGTCTTGCAGTTATATATTAATTTATAATTTTTAAATTTAATTTGTATTATACATTGTATTATTTATTTGTATTTATACTACATATAATTATTTTTATCATTTATCCTACGTCCTTAAATAATAATTTTTCAAATTAATAATAATATTTTACCCACACCTGTAGGTAAACAAAACAAAAAAAAATAATATAATTTATAGAATTGATCATTCCTTTTATTTGTCACAATACCTAATACTATATCAGGCCATAATACTAACGTAATTATCTGATCAAAAATAAAACATGATTTAATTTCAGTGCGAATATTTTTCTTAAAAAAGCATTTTATTACCTTAACATGATTTTTAAGTTAAACATTTATACCGCATTGTTACATAAAAACTAATGTTCGTCTTCCTCAGAACCGAACACAAAATATCTGGCTTCATTTTACAGATGCGACATGAAAAGAAATACTTAGTAATATAATTCAATCATAACTTATTTGCAGCTGCAAGAGCCAAGATTTTGGGTTCGAAAGAAATACATGTAAAACTTGACAGTACAATCTCCATTTCCTGTGCAGTGAACATACATGCAACGTCAATATTGTGGTAAACTTTGCTTTGAAGTATATTAAAGGTACTCACGACTCTGATAGCTCCGGAGCAGAGTTTACAGCCATTTGGTTTACGCTGTTTACATTTAAGTAGTTCAAGAAACTTTGAGTATCCTCTAATTACATTCAACGCAATGCATATTTTTTATATTATAGATTTTTTACTTCCACATTAAGTTGTTTTAATTTTTTAAGGTATCATGGTGAATCACTAATTGATTTTGATTCATTAAGAGGCGGGATCAGCTTGGAAACAGAAAAAAGTGATATAGGAACAACAAGTCGCCTCATGTTAACTAGGTTAGTTTTAAAATAAATATATATATATATTTATCAAGATATATATTTTCTATTTTATATCATAAAGAGCATCGATGCGTGATTCTGGGAACTATACGTGTGCACCCCAGGGCTCTGTACCTGTTACAGTACGAGTTCATGTTCTAACAGGTATGTAAGTTATCTACATCCCAAAAATATGCACACAAGTTTTCCTTTATACAATTGAATATTTTCTAAGGTGAACAACCAGCAGCTATGCAAACCAGTAACGGAGTTCTGAGTCTTTCCCACCTAGCTAACATAACAATATGCACACTTTTAATAACTGCATGGCACTATTCAGTCATATCACATACAACTTCCAAGAGGTCATCTTTTCCCAGACGGAGGTGATTGCTCTCTTCTGATTTTTTCACTACATACGAAATTATCACTGATTGTACATACGAGTGTAAATAGCGATTCCACCAAATTTGTTTCATTTTTGAATCAGCAGCAAGAACAACTAAGCTAATGATAAACTCATAAACCTATTAGCGCTTCTGCACCCATACACAATAAAAGATAGTGATTTTATTGTCAAAAAACAATTAATAAAAATTAAAAAATCATAATCTGTCATTATTCGCTCTAAAACTTATGTTCGTAATATTTAATATTTACATTAGACATAGCAGTTTAATCCAGTTTTAATTATTTAAGTATTACTTAATGCATAAAGGATAATAAAGTAATAGCAAAAATCAAATGTGTTTTTCCGTTTAGTTTAAGTATGTTTGATATTGATGTTATTTAAATACATAAATGGTCAGGTATTGCGAATGGTACAACTCCAATGCGGTTAACGTATTTAGTCAACGTTTATCTAAGCTTTCGAGTGCATATCTGATTGATCCTGGAACAAAGTGCATTTAACAAAAAATATTAACTTATACATAAGTTTTGTTAACACAATTAAATAATTACTTCCCTGTTAATATATTTATTCTTCACGAATGTGGTTCCAAGAACGACTGGGTCTTCGTCTCGAAGCCACTTGTCGTCAGCGACGACCAAATGCCGTTCAATACCTCCCAAACGGACTTCACAAGCAGGTATGTGTTTGTTGACATATGGTATGTCGTTTATTTGTGTTTTTCCCACCAAGAAGCAACTTCTGGACATCTTGCTTCCTATGTTTCTTCTAATGGCTGGAATCAAACCTAATTCTGATCCTGTTGGACTTCCCACTTCTATTTGGAACTGTTCTGTCTGCCACATCCCTATCCACAGAAACTAAATTTTGGCAAGGTCTGGATTGAGCTCGCATCCAGATTCCAAAATTCCACCAATAACATAGTCTCCGCCATCAATAGTTCATCCCTTCTCAAAATCCAGCTTAACAGTTTAACTGCAATGGTTTAAGTGGTAAACTGTTTGAAATTGCAGCATTCGTGTCCTCCAACGATAACGCAGTAGGTGCATTGCAGGAAACTAAACTACTGCCTAACTCCCCTCTCTCTCCCCCTCAGGTTTTACCCTTATTCGTAAGAACCGACCAAAGGGCGCAGGAGGTGGAGTTGTCTTCTTATTGCGTGATTTAATATCTTATTGTGAGCTTTTTTTGTCTCTGAACCGACTCAAATTTGACAGGGTATGAGTTCAATCCTTGGTACTTGTAGTCTCAAAAAATTATTTACAAATAATTAAATATAAGAAATATTTCCAATACCACTGATGATGGGTATATGCCAATACTCGAAACAGCTGTATGAAGTAAGAGGTAAGAGTTGGATCTTTGCCTGACTTATGAACCACTATAATCATGGATATTTTCCACTTTGTTGGGTAAAAGCCAAATTCAAAAGTCTTGTAATAAAATGTATGACCAGAAAGGATATGTCTAACATGTTGCTGATTATTTAAACAAAATGTAATTTTCATGTCAATAGATCATGCATAAAGAGATTAGAATACCTTTTTTAAGTATTCAACAAATACTTTAGATTTTTCTTCGCGACCTTACGCTCAGTTTTCGAGAGAGTTTCTTATTGGAAAATCGGATTCAATGAGGGAATTCCTAGCATTCCTTAAGAGTGAATATTTGAATGAATATCTGCAGGTCAATATGTTGGCTGCCCAGGAGAGATCACATCTAGTGCATTTTTCAATTTAAAATGAAATTATAAAGCTGTTTCGCTTTTGGATTACAGAGTCGTGAATCCCAACACGTGTGCTTGGCATTGTATTTTCCTCTTGCAAGATATCTGTCACTTAGAGTTAAGAAGTAAGCCTTGAAATGGGTCTCAGTTATGTTGAAACATGTTGCATATAATTATGAGCATATATACCTAGAATATTATATTATTGTACCACCATATGCTTTCCCAAGGTAATTGACTTTATAAAATAAAAAACTAGTTTGTTAAATATGTTTAGAAAAAAGCATTACATCATGCCTTCATAAAGTTTGTGAGCTCTAGTTTATGTTGGCTTAAACAGTTTGTATTCTAGGAAGACGTTTTCAAAGTACTCATTTATTAGACAAAAACATTTGCATTAATTGGATTTGCATATACCTCATTAATTGGATTTGAAATACCTCATTAAGAGTAGTTTGCATTACTGACGTACACTGAATGTGAGCTATGACAATATGAAGAGTATTATTACCAATGAGACGTGCAAGGAGTATAACAAGGGTATTTGAACTGCATTCACACAGGTAGATTGAAATTGGACTTTTGGATTGAGATTGATTGAGATTGGACTTTGAGGAGTGTGCATTTAATATTCACATAGCGTTCCATGCCGCTTTGGATTATTTAATTATTTGGACTGACTATGTCGGAAATTACAAGCGATGCTGTTGAAGATGCGATGTATGTTAAGCTTTAATAAGTTAGTATAGTTTTCCACAAAATATGTCAAACGATTTTGAGTGGTTATTTTGAATTGGCAGAAAGGTGCATCACAAATTGTACTAAATTCTTCTAATTGAAGATGATATTTTACTATACCATGATCACTATTCATATTTCAAGCCTTGGCAACATTGATTGTTGTTAGGTGTCATCTGACGTTTCCACACGAAAGTTTGATATTATTAGATATAACGTACCTTACGCTTTTTGTCAAAAGAGCGTTATTTGTGTGATTTACAGTGATTTGTAAACTGAGTGTTCGCGAAAATATTAAAATAACGCCAGAAAATTTTCATGCGGTGATTTATCACGACTTTTAAAGTGGATTGTCATGACAAGAATGGAACTTACTTCAAACGCTGGTGCAGTGAATTTAATCGTGGCCGCAGCTCACTGACAAAATTCGTCAGTCAGTGAAGATCGTCCAAAATTGTGAATCCTAGACATTAGTTCCATCAGCATATATTGCTCGATCATTTAGCCGTGAGAAAAGTTTGTTCTTTTTGGATTCCCCATTGTGTTGATTGCTGCACACAAATGTACGAAAAGTACAATGGCGGTGTTTCTTATACGTATACGAGTATACGATTTTAACAGATGACGAATAATGTATGCGTTTGAGCCGAAACGTAAACAGCAGCCGACTGTATGGATGTTTCAAAATAAACAAAATTTAACTAAAGTTGTTTGCACTCGAAACATTTTGATTGTTTTTTTCGGGAAAACTGATCATTTGTTTACCGCAAGTAAAATACGGAAAACAACAAGCGTCGGATCATTCTCCATCGTCAGCAAGACAATGCGAGTGCATCTTGTCTAACAACCGACTACTCGTATTTCAACATTTAAAAAATCGAATTAATGGATCATGCGCATGATTTATATACAGTTCTGATTTGGCACCCAATGTTTTCTTCTTGTTCCCGAACGTCAACAATAAATTGCGTGTATAACGATCGAAAGATTTTTGCCGATTTTTAAAATGGCTCAGAGGCAAATGGGTGGTTAGTTAATTTTTACGCAATCTAGATCATAATCGCAAATACGGATCAGAAATAATTTGCGATTTCTCCACTGGAGTCGTTTTAGATTAAGAAGCAACCATATTTCCGCTACTTGATCCATTTTGTCAGGTTGGAATTGAATTCTTGTACACTTTATATATATATCATATCATTTTATTTGGATAAATTTGGATAAATATAGATCACATCATTTTGTTTGGATAAATGTAAAGCCATAGGTAAGCCCTTGATAATCACAACTGAATAAGTCCCAGAGTCCGTTGAGGATTGAACGGTTCGGAGCTCTTGGTCGACAAGAAATCTGGTCTTTGACAACAATCCTGAAATTAACGCTTTCCTATGTCTTCCCTATTTTTATATAGAAAGTACTTCAGACTATAAGGATAAACATCAGTGAGTTAACTATTTATCAATCTTCATTTTTCAAGCTCAATAGTGCATTTAAGGATATTTTCGTCAAAGACAAGCATGATTATTAGGGCTTTCAGCATGAGGTTTTAGTTCGAAAGTTTAGCAAGTAAATTGGATTTCAACAATTTTTTTGTATGGTAAATAACAATTCAGTGATGTAGGTGCCCCATTTGGTACCATCTAACATGTAACAGCTATAATTGCTTACATCATGCAAACTAATATAAGTATTTTAATAATAAATACTATTTAAATTGGATTATTACTATTTACATAAAACGAACAATTTCTAATTATTATATTCTCCAAATCCACATTCGTTCTCTTCTTCTTCCTCTTTTTCAGGTGTCATCTTGCCTAGCAGTGTTGTTTTCTCATTAGAGTTGTTTTTTTCTGCAACATTCCGTCCTCCGGTGAATATTTGCAAGATTCACTAATCTTGCAAACGGCTAGCTAGATCGCTGGATGGATTAGAAAAGCATTCTTAGTCTGTATGCGTTCTGATCTATCTTGACTCGTTCAGGAGAGAAACACTACAACACTTCGGTCCTTGTGCCTTTAACTTTTAAAAACAAAGATCCATTAGAGGTATTAGGCAATGTATAATCAGAAACGATTTGATGTGAGCGGCTCCCGCTCGCTGTGCGTTAAAAGAACTTCTGTAAGCGGATGGCTGTTAATATTTTCAGTTTTAATTAGTGCTTCTCGCAAAGTTTTCACCTTCGGTGCTTCTTCTCGAATTGTCTTGAAAATATTCGTGCGAACATTCTAATAAGGCGCTCCTAGCAACTACGGACACTGGGATTAAGCGGACAATTGAATACAAGTTAATAACGATGACAGCGACCGTAAATTATCACGCCGTTGTATAGATAGTGAATCCCGTTTTCTATTTTGTTGCACTGGGCGGAATATCATGAAAAAATTGGAGCATATGTAATTAATGCCAGAAGTTAGTACACTAAATTTCAAATATCTCTACTGGTTCAGAAAATACAGGATTTCGATCGGTTAATTTCTGTTTTGGCACACTGTGCGTGGATCCCAAGACCCAAGTGGAAATTTATTTATTGACAAAAAGTACTTTGTTTTTTCTCATTTACCACAAGACCTCAACATTGCTTTTATACCTACTTCAATTTCATTTTGTATGTAGATTTTTATTAGATTTCTGTACAGTGGCGGAGCTAGACCAATTCGGCACGATGGCGACATCAGAATTGCGAGGCGCCCTTTATAACCCAGTTGCAAAAGTAAATAAGTTACATTCACTAATACGACAAAGCATTGAAAGTTTTATTGCTAATCAAATTAAAATAATCACAAATTAAAATAAATCAATTTTCCTACTTTTAGCCTCACTCAATTTTTTCTTAAATTATATCATAATTTGCGCCAGCTGCTATTTTTGCTTCAGTTTATAGAATTTCCAATGGAGATAGTCTCTCTTGGATCATCATATTTTTCTAGTACGTCTTAATCAATTTTAACTTTAAGAAGCTTCTTTCCGTCGAAGCTATACTGACTGGAACTGTGAACATGAATCTGGTTACTACCTAAACATTCGGGAATACTTCGAATATGGTTAATGCCATTGTTCGAATATGGTTAAACTAAATTGTTCAAAATATTTCAAATATAATTATACCAACCCAACAAATTTGGTATACCTGTTCTGTGCGTGACTTTTCTTTGTTATTTTTTTACCATTATGGTTCCACAGATGTTTGTTGTCTTTAATAACTCCAAGGTATTGGAGTACTTTTTAAGGTGGGGGCTGTGTTAATATAAAAGAATTCATTGTGATACGCGTCTTGTATCAATTATCAAATAAAAATCATTGAATTAACTGCTTAAATTGTATTTGTTTCCTTTAATTTTCTAATTGCAAGAGTAAAAATTTAAGTTTTGTACTTTCACATAAATGGAAATAATTTTGAGATATTTTTCCAAACATTTTCTTAATATTCGTTACAATTTATTTTTAATACTTCGGCACCGAATACATTAGAAAACAACGATTTCCAATGTATTATATCCAATTAAATACCATTAATTTTTATATCTATTGTTTGTTCATAACTATTTATTATTTATATTTATTAATATTAATAATAGTCGCAGTAGTCTTTGATTACACGTTCTTACATATTTATTCAGGCTAACGCGGTTATCAATCATTGACCTACCAACGAAAATACAATTATGCCATTACCAGGTTTTCTTGTTGGTCATTGTACTGCATTGTTTGGTATTTGATTTCATAATTATGGCTCTAAGACGTAAATTAATTTAGTGTTTAGCAAGTTATTATATTAATACTTCTTACTACTTGATGTATAATTCGTTTGTTCTTGTAATCTGATTTAGTACATAAACCAAAATTATTTTAATCTGATAAGAAATAAATAACGATCTATTGCGCTGCTTTGTGTTGTGCTAAACTTACTGCAATCAATGAACAAATAGTGCTTCGGGGTACATTTGCCCAAAGCAGTTATCACGATTAAGCAACTGAACTAATTCATATAAAGGTGCATTCACACCAAAGCGACCGCTTGCGAACGAACGAATATTTGCAGGTAATCGTATCTACAAAAAGTCGTTCGTTCGCAAGCGTTCGCTTTGGTGTGGTTGTATCTTTACGGATCTAAATTGGCCACCAAGTGGCATCACTACTTGCATTATGTAAAAGTGTTCACATGTCATTTGCAAACATTTTGCAAATACGTTTTTAAAAGCTGTTCCTGAACTAAATCACTTTTTTTTTGTTATATGCTCTTAATCATTCAAAAATATTTTTTCAATTCTTTATTTTTATAATAAATTTACTTATATTATTTAGATATTATTATTTAGAAAAGATTTTGTATATATAGAATCTTATTTAACGTAAACCAATGACTAATTTTTAATTTATTAAAGCTGCACTGACTTTCGCAAAAACGAATGAAATAAACTAAAAAATATTCATGGGTTAAAATTAAAAATACAAAATTTTCGTTTTTAAAACTGAAGCAATTCTAAAGATTATTACACATAAAAGAAAATCTTTTGAAATTCTTGCGTTTACGATTTACAAAATTAAGTAAACTTGGACACAGAATTATTTCAATATCAATAAAAAATGCAGTCGCCTATGTATATCGACATCATCAAATTAATTTGAAGCAAGGAGTTACGGAAACAAAATTCACGAGGAAAATATATTTCTTTTAATAGCGTATTATTTTATTTTAATTAAAAATTTTCATATAATTATAAAAACAAAATTTTTTGTAGTTTGAACGCAGTGTCTTACAAATGTAACATTTGAAGGTGAATAAATATATAGAAGCATAAAGTACACAACTCATTGTCTGCTAAGGCGTAAAATGTAATGCTCAAAATTATTCTACTTGATTAGGAGTTTGTCGTTCAAAAAGTCAAAAATTCGAAGTCAAATTTACAGGATAAGCTGCTAATAACTGTAAGCCATTATTATTAAGTATTCATATTTATTGAATTTTATAAACACTACTGGGAACTTCATATAATAATTAGTTATAAAAATGTTAATGTAAATCAAACCAAAAAAAAATTATTGATACCTATTTATTTGTTTACTGATAACATGAAAAATATTAATATAGTTTTATATCGAAGCTTGATATAATAAAATTAATAAATAAGTCGTAATTTTTATAACAAAACAATGCATTGCAAATCAATAAATTTTTTGCTTTAATAAATAAATCTTAATTTAAATAAAAAACAATGCATTGGTCAGTTTATGTAAATTAAATATTTTACTATTATGGTGTAACATTGTAGGTTTAGTTTTTGGTAATTTAGTTCACCAAATAAAGTATATTTAATCTAAATTCTGTCTATATCGACGTAATCGCGCACTATTTTCTAATTTTGGAGCCCCTGGTGGTGGCGTCATGGTATTAATAGATTTAATATCCCTGACACTAGTACATATCATTGTTTCATTTTCACTATATTTATTTTGTAATCCCTTTATACTATCATCAGCGCAAACACCGCCAATATTTCCATCATAACTGCAGTTTGGGAAATGTTGTTGTGATTTCGAATATTTTTCTTCGCTATTATCCGATGAGTATTGATCCTCTATTGATTGTTTTTCAACACTAGGTGCAACACTGCTTGAACTAAATAAATACAAATATATTAAGGAATTTATTGCTTTTATATTGTATTCTGCATATTTACCCACTACAATTTCTTGACAAAGAGCGAGCATAACGTAAATGTAATTGTGATGGATCTGTTACATATTTTTCTGTAGCTTCACGGCGCCTTCTAAGAGCTGGAAAACAATTACAAACTAATTTAATTACAACAAAGGAATAAAATATTTTTAAATTAACCTGGAGTTAATTCTGCAAAGCCAGAATTTGTATGAGAACTACAGTTAAAGACACTGTTTTTAATGTTATTACTATCAATTCCAATGGTTTTAATAACAGACTGAAAATTATCACTGGTTGTGCAATTGTTATTAACTATGGTTTTCTGATGGCTCATTGGCGTTGAAGTTGTAATGGCTGGTGTCGTTAAATTAAAACCAGCCCAAGAAGCACATTTCGATTGACGAGCATGTGTGTTAAGGATTGGAATTTTACTTAGTGCAGCTCCTGTAAAAAAATTATTAGTATTACTTACAGCTATTGTTTGTTATAATACGAATCACCATTTTCATGACTTCCACTGTAAGTTCCACTATCTATCATTTTTTTATTATTATCTAGAGTACCTATTGAGTGGTTAGCTGCACTTTCAATTTTCTGTGTATTATTACATGTACTTATACACGACGATTTATGTGAACCACTAAGTTTATTTGTTGGCACAGTATTGCAAACATTTTGAGATTCAATTGGATTCACTTCGTCTTTGTTAAATAAATTTTGATCAGGGTTACAATCAGTTATTAAATTTAAAATTTGTTGATTCGAGGAGGAAGTATCTGCTTCTATACCACATTTTACTTTTTCTTTATTATAACTAACAGTACATTTGCAATTAAATATTTGGGGATCATAATTCACTATTGAATTACATGATGATTCACATTTTCCAAGATTAACAGCTCGTCTATTACACAATACTGACTTTTCAGTTAGTATATTTGACTCTAAAAAAAATTTTTTTTAAATATTATATATTATAAATACTTTTTAAGAAAATAAACCTTTTGGAACAACTCTTATTTCCAAACGTCCACTTATGCAACCCTCTGTTGTTCCTTCATTATCACCAGTAGTAACGACCGGAAGACTTTCCTGGCAAATTAATTCCGAATGATCAGAAGGTTTATTGCTTTCAAATAAGGCATGTTGCTGTGAGTATTGTAGGTTTATATCTTTGCTAGGGTTTTTATTACAAGCCGCATTGGATCCATTAATTTTAGGTTGTTCTATTAAAAACACATCCGGTAACGATAAGTTTGGCAAACTTGTCTGTTGTCTTATAACCTGCAAAATAATAGTCACTTACTTCATTCCTTAGATAGATTAGTTTATCACATACTATGGTTCCAAAATTTGGTGTTGTTTTAACAGAAGTTGGAGATCTCAATAAGGAAGTTGCTTCAGAATGCACTTCGCGGACACAAATGTTACGAGAAATATCCATCCTATATACCTAAAAGTGTACTCCTAACTTTAGTTGTGTATTAATTGAATAGAAATAGCTTAGTGCTAAATGTGTTTAATAACCATTTTAAGTAAAGACTGTCTAAATATGTTTACATTTAAACCTTTCTTATAACTTTTCTTTCTGTATTCTTTCTTAAAAGACAAAGCGTGTTAAATTTTGGCATCTCCACAAACCTTATTAAACTAATAAAAATTTAAACTAAAAAAGAAATTTTGAAGATTTCTCAAAAGTCATTTACTGTATACGATTTAGAATTTTGGCACATACTTTACATATCAAATAATAATTAAATTTTTAATTTCTAGAAGCCATATTCTTCGATAATGCCTAGTAATTTGTTCTATACAACCCTGCAGTGTTTAAAGTTCTGAAATTTCAAATCAAAATTTTAAAAAAAATTTTAGCAATTTAAAAAAAAAAACATACGTTCACATGCGAACTTGACATGAATCCAATTCAGTATTTGGAATTACAATTGGTTTATTAGCATAATAAAATATATTAGTAGCTGCTCCTTCTTTGTTATTTACATGTGGTGTAAGGGAAACATCACTGATAATAATTTTACGCCGATATTAACATTAAAAAAATTTGTGAAATCTGTGCTCTTAAATTGTTTGCTGGGATATGTTTGAACAAAAAGTTTTATATCTTAGTTGCTTATACTTATGGATGCGCAAAATAAACAATAAACAGGCAATTGTGTGAACTTATGTATATAGCCTAGGCAAAAAAAAAAAAAAGAAGCAACAACTCTGTTAAAAAAAAATCGTAATCTCTGACAAGGGGCTATAAATGGAAAAAGCTTGACATTTCAATACATAAAATCGAACTTATTATTTTATCGTATATGGCAAAACCTTATAGAAAAACTAATAGTTTTAGAAACTGCTTATAATTGGGACTTAAACAAGTTTATAGAACTGTTGGATTGATTCACCTTAACCTAATGGGAAGTAGTTGCATTTCGGCGATGGTCGTATGCTGACCTTTTAGTCTGTGCATAAACAAACGCCATTCCTGTGATACTACAACGTACCATTATTTGAGCTCAAGTGGGTTTCTTGGACACAACAAAGTTGAGGTTGGACAGGTAGACCGCCACTTCAACCTAACCTAACCTAGAGTCTAAAGCAGAAATATAATTATTTGATACTGAGTGGATAGACAAACAGCAACAACACTGTTTATACTATTCTATGTTATTATATGATGCAGAATTTGTTTTTGTACTTTTTTTTCTTTAAAAACATGGGTTTGTGTGCATTTAATGAACAAGTCTTTCCGAACTGGCCTCATACAAATGCTTGATGTGCCATTATGAAATCAATAAATACTGGCAATAGCACAACCATTGTCGTTAGTAGAAATGTTATTAATATGTTAAATAATAAAGACACACGTTCTATTGTATAGACAAAATATAAAAATTTAAGGTATTTATTTACAGGATACTTCTTACTTTACCTTTAAAATCTACACGATTGTATATGATATTAATAAAAATTAATTGTCAATTGACGAAAACGCTCACCATAAAACCACTGAGTTGTATTTTTTCAGTGCTTCAGTGCAGCATTAAGTTAGTGTGTAACAACTAAAAATAGTAAAAAAAAGTGTTGTTGCCGTTTGTCCGTCCACTCAGTATCATAAAACTTTACTTTGCTTTGGGTTTCCTTTATAAGCATATACTACAGACTATGTATGCGTTAGCTCTAATTTTACTAGTATGTTCTATATTGTATTTCTACTATATGTGTTTAGCATAGGGCAATATAACAACAAATGCACTAAAATTGGAATGCTAGGCATCTCTAGTTTACAATAACAATTACATATACTTAAACGTATTAAATGGTTTAAGTACTTAGCATCTTTCATTAAGTTTATATATGAGTTAAAAACCCTTAAAAAAATTTACTTAAAAAAATAATGTAAATATAACTTATATAAAATATAATCTTACAACGTTATCAAATGCAGCTTGTTGTACAATTGGTGGTTGTAGTCCTCTACGCAATAAATTACCCATGGCAGGTTCGGACCAGCAATGCGGTACGCATTCTTGTAAATCGACATATTGCTCTAATCCAGTTATGTTTAGATTATACCTATTCGATAGTAACATTAAGTTTAATAACTTTCCAAATAAACTGATTACATATAAAACTGAATTTAATAACAATTTTTTATTATATATAACATATACATATATATATACATTTAAATGAAATAATTGTTAAAAATTATTTTTGGAAAGACTTTCTGTTCTGTATTTATTGGATTGTATTCAATGTATTTTTCTGCACCCAACTCCAAATAAGGAAAGTCCAAAGTGATATTTTCGGCATACTTTTGCTATTATAAGGGCTATATTATGAATGAATTATAACACGTGAAATCTGTTAATTTTGAATTTATTGCATTCGTCTCTTCTTGATCATGTTCAGTTGTTGTCCAGCAAGGATTTGAAGTTTTAGGTGCTGTTTAAGAGCTATTTTTTCTCGTCGCTTTTTGAATTAATGATTTGCTTCACTACGACACGTGGGTTGTGTAATACCATATGTTCAAAACATATCAAAAGAATTCATTTAATTTAATAATTCATCATACAAAATATAAATATTATTATTCTTTTTACACTATATTCGACCATTATTTTACTGATATATTGAAGATACTATTTATGTTCTTGAATAGGAAAAACTCTTTTCTAGACTTGTTTCCTGCGGAAGAACATAATTTTGAGCACATTCACACAGCTTACTATATATATACGTATCTTCGGGAAATATTTACATTTTCAACCAATGCGAAACTCCAGACTTCTGCATCGTAAGATTGAATTGGTCGGTATACTGCTAGTCTTCAAGATTTTCTTTTTAGCAACAAAATTTTTCCAAAACGTAAAAATGCTTATCTTTGCAACGGAATATTTTACAGTTAAGTACAGTTACATGTTATATATTTCGCAGAAATTTTCTATTGTATATCATTTTTTTAACCTTCGTATATCATCGGACAGAATAATTATGTCATCTGCATTCATCAGATCCCTTATATCCATCTTAACTATATTCCACTCTTAGATGGTATGTACTATTAAAGTCATCTATATATAAGTCGAATAAAAGTCGAGAAAGTAAATAACTTTTGTTTCACTCCGGAAAGATTTTAAAAAGGATTACAAATTTCATTACCTGTCTAAAAAAAAGTGTTTTGTGCATGTATATATTATATTTCTGAATGTTACTAGTTTCTAATCTAACTTAATCTAATCTATTTCTTGACATTTCATCAAATGCTACTCGAAATTCTATGAGAAAGGCATATAGATTTATTTAGTAAATTTTAAGTGTACTATTGGTAATAAGTCATAATTGTAGTCAGTCGTAGAATATTTGCTACGAAAACCTGATTGAAATTCATTTACTTTATTATTATGTTCGACCCATTTCAATAGTTCTTTATCAACAATTTCCATCACAATCTTAGCAACACTGTATTACGAGAAGCTCTTCATTATTTCTAGCAGATTTCAAGTAACTGCATATATGTCATTTACCAAGTGTCCCGGTAGTCTTATTAAAGCATATTTACTCTCTTAGTCACCAATTGTTCTTCCATTCAACAGGAAAAATATTGTCTCCACTTCTTGTATGCAATTTGGTTCTCCTTGTTAATCCTCGTCTTATATGGAATGGATTGTAATCGCCAAAGTTGTAATTTTCACCTTTACATTCAAAACTGTAGTAGAGCTCTGCATTTTTTTAGCCTTTTCTTAACACAAAAGTCTAATCGCTACTAGATCCACAAAATATCTTAGTGTTATGTGATAATACTTTTAGAAAATACATTCTACAGTTAATTTTATTGAATAGAATGGTGATTGATAATTAATCTGAGGAGTATTAAATTATTTTTACAATAATTATGTTTATAATTTATTAAACTTAAATGGCTTTCCTAAAGTTAAATGAATATTACTAAACTTAGTGTCATATAAATTATTTAAAATAATATTTACAACTACACCATCATACATAAGCGCCCCCTTCTTATTAAATGTCATCCATTTGTTAACGATTTTCATTTTGTCATATGTCATTATTTTTCTTACTGTAATATGGTGAGTTTCATTAATAGCCCGGGATTGCTTGTCTGAGTTAAAGAAGAGTTATTCACTTGTCGTCTGCAAATGATCGTATCCATTTCCACGTAGGGAAAGGTTTTTCAATTATTAAGAAAATCTGCTGCAGTGCTTTCATTTTCGATTTCAGCACTAGAACCAATTTTATTATTTCTGTTGTGTATATTTTGTACTGATCGATTTCTTGGTTATCAAAATGGTTTATACTGGATTGTTTGTGTCGTAAGGTCATTGAAATTAAAGTTTTTTCTTTTAGGAAGCGCAATTATTCTCAATTGTTCCATTTCCACATTTAGTGCGTTGTTTTTTCTTTGGTTTCATTTATCTGGACAGCGAAGTCACACGCTTTAAATGTAATGTTTTCTATATCTTTTTTGACTTCCTTTCTTTCTTTTATTTATTATTTAAAGTGATTTTAACTATTTAACGTGCACTTAAAACACCTTGAGCATAAACATATACTGATGTTTGCTAAAGTTTTCTCTATTGCGAGTACTAAACGGCCCCTGAGGACATATTTGGTGGAAAATGATTTAAGCTTGACACTCTTGCTGCTAATAATTATATTTGAATGCAGAATTGGCGTGTACATGGCGTTATTTAAAGTAACAGCAGCTGGCTCTCCACCTAAACTTGAGCATATATTATCAATATAAGCGAAAATGAGCGAAAGATCTGCTCACAGAATCTTCAAAACAATTGAACTTGGCACTATGAACAAGTACGTACTTAAATAGCCGAACAAAATTTTACCATGCCCCTATCACAAAACGTTAACGGTCGATAGAGCAACTTTTGCCAAATAATCTGTACAAATGCTCCAAATATATTATTGCGAAATTTTCTTATATTTTGCAATGTATTGTTGTTGTTAAAATCTCATTTTTTCTTATCACATTCTTCAATTAGAAAGAGAAGATTAACTGTAGAATTTTTTACCTTGCAATAATCTGTTATATGGTAGAACCATTTCATGTTTTTATAACCACTTCATATAAGACCATTTCTCTATTAAAATAAAGTACAGGACATTTTTTTCATGCAGACTAATATTGTATATTCTCAATGTCACTAGTGTCTATGGCTGGAGCATATTACTTCTAGTTTTAAAAGTTCACGTTATTCTATGTTACTCCCTAACTTCTTTGTGATTACCATCTAACCTTTCGCCATTGTAGATGTCAGATTTTTGTATACATAGTCTCTATATTCTATTCTCCTCTTATATTTTTTTTTTCAATCTTCTTTTCAAATTCCAACTTCTCATTATTATTTTTCCAAATACTTCGTGATGGTGTTTGCTAATTTTAATCCCAAGGTTTGCTTTGGAAAGTAAGGACTTACCATCCATAATTGGTTTAAGCTTAGAAATGTTTGTTGATGAAATCTGTTATGGCCACATATAAACATAATTTTACAGAAATATCTGCGGTGAATTACCAGAGGGTAGAGTTTGCAGACTATAAAACCAAAAAAGCTGAAGACCCAAAGAAACCAGAAGTCTATATTGTATTATGCTTTCAGTAACAAAAATCCAGTTATTTAACTTGATAACCTTATCTGCCGTAAAGGTTTAATACCACGGTGCTCCTCACACACATATCGATATAATACTCATGAAAACCGATAAGCTTTCAGTGACTCAGCAGTAGAGATGCATATATAAAGCATTATTCTTGAATATCTTCTTTCTGGTAATTTACCAATAATCAATCAACACGTGAAGTCAACCAAGATTTATTACAGTAAATCAGTATTGGTCATTTACTTTACTCATTAATAACTACCAATATATTTGGCGTGCAGAGTCTTTATCATAATACTTTTATATAAATTTAATTCCATATATTTTCTTTGAATGTGACCTTTCCGCTTACTCTGATCGATAGTCCGGTTAATATTGTTTATCTTTTTTCGGAGAGACCAAAAATTCAAATCTTTATAATTCTGTGAAGGTCGGTCAATAGTCTGATTTACGCTCTTTATTTTTTTTTGGATAGATCAATGCAGAGTTTAAATATTTACAGTCCCATTCTAGATAATATTCTAGATTGTATAAAACCTGTAACACTTGCAAAGAAATCTTGGCTCTTTTGTTTTCTTATGTTTTCATGGTTTGTGAGTTGCAACAACGTTTCATTGTTCACCACATGTGGCCACAAAATTCTCAATATATTTCGCAGACATCTGTTGGTAAAAGACTGCTGCATGCGACTAGTTTCAATGCTCACCATCCATGTTTCAGAGCTATACAGCAAAATCGACACATGCGTTATATATATTGATCTTAGACTTCGGAGATAGTTTGCTTGAGCTCCAGATGTTACGGAGAGTTGCAAATGCAGATCTTGCCTTGTTAATTCTGTTTCGTACGTCAATGGCTGCGCCTCTCGTTGTATTTATTATGCTTCCAAGGTAGCAAAAATTTTCAACGGTTTCAATATTGGTGTTATTGATCACTGAGCTTGATTTGATTAAATTAAGCATGCCTTTGTTTTATTAGGAAACATTTGATCTTTTTAAAAAATTGTGTGGTTGTAATTTAAAAATCAACGTGTTACAAATATAGAAAAATTTGCCACATTGCAACAGTGTGCCAATCAATAATCGAACAAACGATATCATTCTCGTGTAAAATTAATTAAAGATTAAAACTTAAAGCTTAAATCTATGGTAATTTAAAATATTGGTGGCCTAAAACGATTTCAAATGAAGAGTTATGGAGAATAATGCACCAAACAAACGTAAACAGCGAGATAAGAAGAGAGAAGTATGGCTGGATTGGACACACACTGCGTAAATGTTATGAAAATATCGTGCATGCTGCACTTACTTGGAACCCCCAGGGGATTAGGCGTAGAGATGGTGTAGATCTTTTTAAAATTCAGTAAATGCAGAGGCAAAACATTATTACTTAGATATAGTAAAAAATTTGAAACCATCCATTGAACTAAAAGAAAACGCAAGGTCAAGTTTTAGCAAAAACTCCAATTCCATTTGTTTTCATGCAGAAATTTGAAATAGAATCCGAACGAATAGTTTACGATGGTATTTGGAAGTTAGTACAAAAAACCAGATAATAAACAAATTAATATTGAGAAATTTCCTCTGTCAGCGAGAAAACAGTTGTGTTATACAGTCAGAAACAAAAACCGTTTTCCAAAATGAGGGTTAATACAGTTTGAAACAGATGAAATCAAGAGAAGTGTTAGTAGTAAATACACCAATTCGACTTTATCAAAATCGCGTATAGCAATACGTGGCATTGCTGTCACCACAAAATGACAAAGAACATTTGTCATTAAATATATTAGAAAGATTGGAAAAATATTTAAGCGATTACAAAATAGGGATTAAATGTAAGCTAAGTAGATAAGAATTTGACCAGAGTTAGATTGTATACTTGGGGCACAATAGATCTTTTAGGTCGCAGTGCACGATCCCTTACTCAATAATATAGATTGTATACTTAGGTCAAGAGTTAAGTGCCAAAGCTTATATGTCAATTATTACAATAATTTTATTCCTAATTTTGCGCAAATAACAACTCTACTTAATAGCCAGCGAAGCTAAAATGTGCCTTTTTATTGGATATCACAACCAGAAAAAGCATTTTAGATACCGAAAAAATTAATTATTGGAGCTACAAAACTTATTTAATATCAAAACCATTTACCATTAATCCTTGAAACATATTCATATGACACTGGTGCAGTGCAATTATTCAAGATGTCTTTGAGCGTTTAAAGAATTTAACGTCTGAAACTCTACATAAGCATTAACAACAGTTTGACCAGTATTTGTGTGGTAGTAAATAGAAACTTCTCACTAAGCACAAACCTTTGATCAGTTTTTTCACCAGATAGAAAATTTCGTACAACGTCCACACATCTTTTCCAACTTTGAGCTATAAATTTAATAGCCTATTATTTTCAGATTAAGTATATGTGGTGGTCATGTAACGCCAACGAGTTTTAAGATTTCAATTGATCCAAGTCCGAACTTCGATGAACAAGAAACAAACTATCATATTACTAAAGAACAAACGTCTATTAACTGACACTTAAATCGTCTACATATATTATTTACAGACAGTCATCACTACAAAGTACATGTAAAGAACTTATCGAATACGAATCGATAAAGTAATCTTGGTAGAGAAGCCAAATTCATTACAGATGTCAACCCTTTTCACATTGAAAATGAAAATTTTACAACTTTTGTATGGAAGGTGGCTACCTTAGCTTTTGAGAAAAGAAGTTGCGATGTATGACGAAGAGTTTTGTTAAAAGCAATAAATGTAAGTTCGTCATAAGCGTTAATCCCATCAGGAAAATTTTTATTTCTTGAGAGGTCAAAACATGATTTCCTTTAGTAAAAAATGTTACTTTATTTGGATGTTGAAAACATTCAAGAAAAACTTTTATAATGTATTATAATAACGTCAAATCATCGACAAAAATTTCATTCAGTCTGTCGTTAATTTGATACTTATTAAGAAGACATTTAAAAATGAATTGTCAGTGTATATTACAGCAATGGAAAATATTGAAGAGCCTGCATAAATTAAATGTGATTTAGTGAGAGATTTAAAGGTAATGACAATTAAAAGTGAAATAGTAAAACTGTTTGTGGTTAATTTGGTCATTGAATAAGATATATTTGTGAGATGATTTATGTAAAGATAACCATACAAGCGTTCAAAAGCAACACATAAATCCGTGTTAAGCCGTGAAAGATATTCTAGGCTTTCTTCATCCTCAGAAATCATCACTATATCTAATATAGTTTTAGAAGACATCCGGTTGACTAAGACAGATTTAGCTTTAAATCTTTTAAATTTTAAATCATTTGTCAAATTTTGAATTTCTATAGCTAATGATAACAATTCAACAAATATACAATTGAATGCAATTTTTTCAGCAAAGTATTCAAAGGTTTAGAAAATGACTGTGACTTTTTATGACTGTGAATGCGGTTTAAGTTCATCACAATTATTCTGAATTGAAACCAGCGACTTAAAAGTGTTATAAACTCAACTCTTTGACACCGAAGTGACTTCAAAAGTCTAGGAATATGTTGTCAGTTTTTATTGGCTGCACCTTCAAACTTACAAAAAAATCGATTTACATTATTATTGTAATCTTTGGAAGATATTGTTATATACTGCAAATTTAAAATCATATGATGTTGACGTTATGATAGAAGTTTTCTTTTTTTCTTATAAAAGTTTATTAAAATATACATGCTCTATATCTATATATCTATATCTATATTGATTGATTGATTTGTTTTGCACATATTGTTTTTGATATCAAAGATAATTTGTGCATTGAACCACTGATAACCACCACATGATAAAATCATTCCGGTTGTTATCACTTAGTTACGAACAAACGACTGGCTTTGCAATGAACGCATATTTCCTGGTCTAGCAAATACTGAAAATTGCAATTTGATACTCGTATTTAAAGTAATAGATCCCTAGTGTATAGCTTAGCTTTATTTTGCCTTGTTATGATATTCAAACTATTATTCTTCAAATTTTTCAGCAAATTCTTAAAATTGTCTAAGGAACATTTTTATGTGAAATAAATTATAAGAATTCCATTTTCTGCTTTTTTTCTGGTTTATACATTGTCTGCAACGTTTCTCAAAACATTACCGTTTTTACTAGTAACCACATAGTTGTATCAGGTCTCATCTGATAATTTCTTCCGGTGTAACAGACAGAAGACATTGCAAATCGTGCAAGAATCAAAACAGACCTTAACCAGATTTTATGTATTTTCATATGTCTACAACTTGAATATATCCACATACAACGAACTATTTTAAACTAAATTTATATGAGTGATAATTTTCATTGTTTTAATGTTGAAAGTTTGAAAACAGAAAATTCCAAAAATAATAATATCAATTATGCACTTAACATTTTTTCGATTTATTGAAGATATAATACATATTTAAACTTACTTTTTGCGTTTACCCATTGACTTATTACTAATAGTCGTTTTGCATTCTTCAGGTAACTCTTTTTCTGGTATTTCTTTACATAATATATCAACTTTCGTGCATGGAGTATCAATATTTTCTCTCAATTGCTTTTTCAATCTTATGTCATCCTCTATTAAATTTGGTTGAGATTGAGATATGTGAGCTATTTTTATATTATGTTCAGGACTCTGCAATATTTGAAATGCCGTTAAAATATGTAGTGATGCCAACTTCAAACATTATAATTAGATTATTGACCAAGTTTTAAATATTATTATACAAAGTGCATAAACTTATGAGTTTGTACCTAGTAATTTAGAGTGTAAATCAAATCTTATGGAAGAGTAGTTTGAGTTTTAGTAAGCCGCAAAATACATGTTGTGAACAAAACACTACACTTAATAGTCGTCAATAACAAAAACAAAAATACCATTAAAACAATTCCATGCAAGGTTCTGCCTTTGACATAGATATTACTATTATAGATATTACTACCTTTAAATTAATTATTTAAATTTATTTTCACTGATTAAAATGAATGAAATATGGAATTAAAAATTAAAATTTTTTTATAATTTTGTAAAACAAAATTCGTTTTATAACAAATAAATAGTTTATATCTTTCAATAAATATGCCACTTCGGAATATGCTACAGTGACCGTAATAGTTACTTTTTTAAAAAATAATCAACTAATAAGTCTTATTCTTCGCCTTTTAATATGAAACTCAAATTCTATTCTGCTTTTTGTTTTAAAACGCAAAAATATTTACAATTTTTACCTTAAAAACAAAAGACTCAAAAATAACTATTATAATTTGCGGACAAAAATAAAACTCTTGATTTTTTAAAAACCAAACATAAGTTGGATGCCATGCGTGGAGCGTAATATTTTGTAGTAGAGCAAAATAAAAAGGCTTCTATTGCTGGCGGAAACCATTTTGAAGTAAGATTGCAAATTGTTATCGACACTAGATTATGTCAGTGGTTTGAAGGTGTTAACCGCCCACTTTATCTTTGATATCGTGAATATACTATTCGCAATAATTCATTTATTGCAGTTTACTCCATCCAAGGAGTAAACTAAAATTAAATACTCTATGTTAACTACCTTGCGAACCCTTCAATTCTTCCTTCCGAATCGATAATAGCCTAAAATTGAAAACGCATAATTAGTCATCAAGTACTCATTTGAAATCAGCAATCGGTAAAATATTATTTTAGCTATTATACTATTAACTATTATTATTTTTATCTTGCCAAACATTCTTATTTAAAACTAATTTCCATGTGTACACATTATATGTAACTGCACCTTTTCGAGGACTTAAAGGCTAAATGCAGATCGATGAATAAATAACTACAGTCTAATTAATTCGTTTCTCTACCAATTTGTTTACTTTAAACTTAATATATAAAATTATATTCATATTATCCTAAATTTTATATTTATATTTTGAATTAATACTTAGTCTGATGAAGTGATAAACAAAAATCCAGTCAAGGCGCAAAGAGGGGTTTTGAAGAAACCTCGCAGTTAATAGAGAGTAAAAGTGCTCAGGTGCACTGACTCAACTAGCCTCAACTTAATAAATTCTCATATATACATATGTAAAAAAGAAGCACCCACTTAACCTGTCGGCGAAACAAATCAAATAAGGGGAATTCAAAATTTATATACTTTTTTATATCAAATTGATTTTTAATTTAATTTTTCGTCCGTTTGACGAAAAAAACAAAACTATTAATATAAACTATTGTTTTTAATAGAGAAATTTTTATTGAACAGTAGTGAAATTACAACAAAAAAAGTTTTTATTTGGAGTTTTGTTATTTGTTGTGAAAGTTCATTAACAAATTCACTTGCTGTTATATTAAAACAAGATCATAAACCAGCTTAGAACAATTTAAATAATTAATTATATTTTTTTCTAATTGTTAAATCGTAGTATTTTCATCTTAATTGTTGATATAATACAATTTATAAAATATTTGCTTTATTAAATGTAGAAGTATTATATATGTGTTCACACATATGCATATGGAACGTATGTACATATATAGTTTTGTATAAAGTAAACTTAATACAATATAAAATAATATTTTATTATATACTAATATATATATATTTCATACTAATATAATAATTAATAATTAGAAACTAAATTAAAATTTTATTCACCTTCTCTAAGCAATTATTCACTCAAATATTTTATTCATCTTCGAGAAATTGGTACTAAACGGTAAACGTTTTTTAATTTACTCACAACAATTATTTTAATTATTTTTTAAAACTAATTCTTATTATAGGTAATATAAAAAATTAATTGTTATTGGTAAAGTGGTAAAGTAAAAATCAATTATATAAATATAACAAATTTATGCACTTAGCAAATACTTATTATTATGTATTGAGACATAAATCTGACATAAATCTGTCTAGTGGCGACTGACTCATTTACTGAGAGATGAATTAGTTATAGCTAAAATTAATGACAAATTAGAACCGTTACTACACCCTCTATATGTAAACTACGTTTCAATTTATAATTAGTGTGAATTTAGATACATACTTAGTTTTTTGTAATTAGACAGTTAATTCTAGATGTGGTTAAGTATTGAGGCGATTACATTCATAACACACAAAATTTAAAATGATTTCTAACTGTTATCTTTTGAAATTAGCATATTAGCAAATTAGCATAAATATGTTTTTGAGAGCGAAAGTTAAGTATCTATATCTTGAATTGGCATTTCGTTGGTATTACTTTTGTAAGCTTTTGAAATGTTAATTTTTTACCTATGAGAGATTGCATCAGTAGACTTTGCGTTTTTACTATCTCATTTGAAGTACCTCATCAACCAAAGCACCGTACTCTTCAGATATGGCCCCGTGTGACTTTTTCCTCTTCCCCGACTCAAATTGCCATTGCAAGGAACGCGTTTTGAGACCATAGAGGCCATAAAAGAGAATTCGCTGCGTGAACTAAAGGCCATACCTTCGGCGGCCTATAAAACTTGTATGGGAAATTGGATCAAGCGTTGGCATGCATGTATTGCCGCAGAGGAGAGTACTTTGGAGGCGATAAAAAAAAAATTATTAAAAATTAAAATTTTGCGGTTTTTTTTTTAATTCTCGTTCTTTTTTGATCATAACGTTGGCAGCATATTAAACATACACCATTGGATGATACTTTGTGTCAGAGTAGAGACCATCATTCTTCTAACTAGAGAGTTTAAGATATGACATTCTCTACACTTTTAGGTTTAAATCATTTTTAGGCTAGATTTTATTTCTGAAGTGTCTCCATATGACAAAGAATTGAAACAAAATCACTATTCTGAGTAACTTTTTCGATTGCGTATATACTAATATAGTTAAGTTTCCAAATTATATAGATTATAAGTTGTTTACTAATTACACTAACAAAAACTAAACACACTTTTTAGCGGCATTCCTAGTACAATACAATACTCCTTAAGTTAATGCACTTTGAATCAAATAATTCGGTTTATTGTTCGAAAAATTTAAAATACTATTACTATAACTTCAATAAAATTAACACGTTAAATTTTAAAATAATGTATGATTAAAAATAAATATACAGAGTGGCTGACGAATATTGCAACAAACTTTACACTGATCTAGCTGTCAAAACAATAATGACAGAAAGCTCAAAATTAATTCATTTAAGAGTTCACGATCGTGAATCAAATTAAATTAACTTGAAAATTTGAAATTCTTTTCGCATATTTTCATTATCTTTCATTAAATTTAATCAAAAAAAAAAAAACAAAATAGAGCGTTTTACTTTGTTGCAGTTTTCGTGGCTCACCCTGTATACACACATATAAACCTGCAATAATGTTTAGTACTCAATATAAAGCAATAGTTATATTTTTTAATTTAATTTTTTTAAATTACCTGAGGTTCTTGTTTCCATTCATTATCTGTAGTATCTTCTGAATCGTCAAATTGACTTTTCCATTGAGACGCTAAAGTCAACGCCCCTCCACCCTTTGTAACTTGTTGAAGTGCTGAGACATTTTCATCATCAATCAAAGCAAATTGCGTAACTGAATGGTCTCCACCACTACCTCTGGTAGATGCACTTAAGCGTTGAGTTAAAGTTGTGCCTGAGGATGGACGCAAATTTAATAGGGTTGCTGAACGTTTGCTTACAGGTTGTTGAAGTAATGGGTTTGGATTACGCATATGCTCTGTAACATTATTACGCTGAATTATCCTTACAACATTACCAGCAGGAGCTGTATTTCCACCTCCTGTACAAGATTGATTTTCTACAGAAAATGGTGATGTTGCATCTTGATCATGAAGTGATGTTGTCTCTATAGATGGTCCCAAATCCTGAACACTTGTATGCCCGGATGGTAACACACGTAAGCGACCATATTTAGATCTTTGTTCTTCTAATAGAGTAGTATTTACTTCACATTTATTAGACCATTTCTCATTTAAATCAATAGAAACATTAGACTCAGCACTTCTTGTTGATTGTTTATTTTTGTTTAGTATTATTACACGACTATTATTTCCACCTCCGTCAAAACTTGATGTAGCTTGTATTTTCTTAGAAGTCATATCTAATTTAAGAGAACCACCTTTTTCATCCACGCTAGTAAATAAATCATTACTATGTCTATAATTACATTGTACATTTACATCTGTTTCTACTATTGCTACATTGTCAGCTGCAACACCATCTTTTTGTAAATGAGATTGATTTGACCCGCAACTGACAGCATCATCTACTAAGATGTCAGTAATCACAGCATTGTACTAAAAATAAGACCGATATTGTATAATTAATATTAATCAACATTATTTATATTATAATATAATCATTATTTATATTATTAAAATTGTTGAAAAGACAAATTCTTGCGTCTAAAAATAGAATAATCGTGTCCTCACACACAATTTTTTTAAGAATCACTAACTATAGAATAAACTACATTAAGAAGTGCAGTCTAGCAGCCCGTTTTCTTGAACGATGATGAGGATTTGTCCTGTGTTATGAACAATTGATTTTTTATAGATAAAAATATAATAAAGATGCAATTCATTCCCAGGTGTTATGATTTATAATTCTATTATTATTAAATTTTAAAATAAAGCAGACATCCACTAAGTGGTCTTATATTTTGGAAATAGAAGCCTTTTATTATTTTTACCGAAATCACCAGTTACCCAATTACTTCATTGAACTCATAAAACCCTTTACTACGAAACTAAGCATTATGACTGATTGTTCTAGCAGTGTGCTCAATAATAAAGTCGGAGGCTTATAAATTGCAGAGATGTTATTTAAATCCTGCTAGATTGGCCATCCCGACCACTGTGTGTTGGCAATATTTATATAGAAAAGTTGAACTATACTAATTGTATGCATATTAATAATTGTCTTTTTATTGAAAAATGATCGATTTAATCAGTGTTGCCAACTTTTGGAGGCGATGAACGAATGTAAGATATCAACTGATAATATTTATTTTTTTAATGTTTTTTACTCTATACTAGAGGCAACTTTTGCGCACTATAGCGTTTCGAAAAAAAAAAATTTTTTTTTCATGTTGTTTTCCATTTATGTTGTTTGCTTGCTTTATTACCTTACACGAATTACATCAATTCAACTTTCAGTTGAAAAAATGCATACCATAGCATTCTTCCGCTTGCTTGAATTTCTCTAGTGTACGCTTCCACGTTTACTTGGGCCTACAAGATGTTCTACTTCCTTGAGGATTCCACGTTAACGCATGTTTACAAATTTCGTTTGGTAGCTTCCTTAATGTGTGACCGGTACATTGCAATTTACGCTTTTTGATTTATTTTGCGATAGGAATTGGCGGCATGCAGACCCGAGATCGGAATTTCTAATAGCGGGGCCACCAAATTTTCAAAATCCTCCCGAGACATTTGTTTATAAAGGTTTGAAGTTCATGAACTAGGTTGTCGGTAGTGAGCCAGGTTTCGCAGCCCTAGAACAAAACGCTCTTGACACTACTGTTGCATAACTGCAGCATGGTATGCCAGGAAAGTATCGATAAGCTCCATACTTTATTCAGCAACAAAAACTCGAAACCTGCTTTATTAATTCGGTTTTGAATGTCAATTGCCGCGTCACTGTCCGGTGATATTAACACTTCGTTCAATAATGTGTGTGACTAATTAATTAAAACACATTTTTTTGCCAAAATTCGTTTTTATTCATCAACATAGTCCCCTTTTAGGGAGATACAATCATTCCAACGCTTTTGCAATCTTTCGATACCGCCTTTATAAAACGATTTTTCTTTGCCTTCAAAATAGGCGTTAGTTTCGGCGATTACTTCATCATTTGAGCCAAATCTCTTACCACGGAGCATCTTTTTGAGGTCTGCGAAGAGCCAGTAGTCGCTGGGGGCTAGATCTGGAGAATACGGTGGGTGCGGCAGCAATTCGTAGCTCAATTCGTTCAATTTTGCCTTCGTTTTCATCGACTTGTGACACGATGCATTGTCTTGGTGGAACAAAACTGTTTTCTTCGCCATATGAGGCCGTTTCCTTGCGATTTCGTCTTTCAAACGCTCCAATAACGCTATATAATAGTCGCTGTTGATGGTCTTTCCCTTCTGGAGATAGTCGATGAATATTATTCCATGCGCATCCCAAAATACAGACGCCATAACCTTGCCACCCAACTGCTGCGTCTTTGGTCGCTTTGGGCGGCTTTCACCGGCTGCATGCCACTCAGCAGACTGCCGATTTGATTCTGGAGTGAAATGGTGGATTCATGTTTCATCCATCGTGATGTACCGATGCAAAAACTCCGACTTATTGCGCGTAAACATGTCCAAACAGCTCTTTGAATCATCCATTCGTTGTTGTTTTTGCTCCGGTGTGAGCAAACGCGGTACCCATTTGGAAAACACCTTTTTCATACCCAAATGTTCGTGTATTATGGTGTGTACACTGCCTGCTGATATCTGTAGAACAAATACTTTTTTTTTGATGGAGCAGAATCCGAATAATGTTTTTCAAAAGCCATTCCTGGCATTAAACAGTATTTTTTTTCATTAAACAGTATTTTTTTTCATTAAAAAACAATGATAAATCAGCACACGGAATTGCTTTGAATTCATTTTTTTTTGGAAACTCAAAAGTAGCGTCACTTAAAGCACTGTAGCTTGTAAACAAATGGTCGGATTAACATATGATTTTGACAGTAAGCCTAAAAAGGTTTGCACTTTCGAAAAAAAATATTTATTTAGTATTAGTACCGCCATCTATGTGTCAGTAGGGTGGCTCAGAAAAACTAAAATGCGATTTTTGATGAGCGCACCCCCTAGGAATATGCCATTGACCAAAAAAATGATATTCCCAAAGTTTTGGATCAATAGGATTAAAAATGACGTTGCGCCACTCGAGCAAAGTTGGGTTTTCAGTACAAAAAACAGAAATTTTTCAATTCAAGGTCATTTTTTATCTTTGTTACTTGTTTCAATAGTTATTAATATATACTCATTTGATAGATAATTGAAATATCTTTTTAATAAGATACTGATGAGCAAAATCGGTTAAAAATTATGCGCAAAACACAATAAATAGTTGAGCGACTGCGCTCTGTTTTCTATTTCATACCTTTTAGCTGGCATGCACAAGTACGTAATAGGTATATGCTACGATTTAGTTAATTATTTATAAAAAATTATAATATCAAGAAAACCCTTTTTTTCAGTAATTAATATATTGTGTTTATTATGTTTTATAACATAAATCTGACAACGTGAAGGATAATTTTTATGATAATGCTCGACTACTTGCAGAACATATGTTATTGTTTTTCCTCTTCATATTTTGTCAAAATCGAATTATAATCCATCATAAGTCTAATTCCTCTTTCTATACAATCATTTATCATATGAAGTCTGGCACAGAATCCAAGTGCATCTCTATAATCTTGCGTCTCCATCCATGGCGAAGGATCGAAACTGATAAAACTATTAGATAGGCAAAAACGATCAAAAAATTTTTTATCTTTTCGGTCACGAAATCAATAAGGTTCTTTGAGGAAAATAACTTCATTAGTGGGTTCCCACTCTTTATCTAACCAGAGATAGCTAGGAGCTTCGATCTGTGACCGGTAACTCTACAGTTACTATCTACGCAGATGGCTCAAAGATGTAAGGCGGTACGGGAGCAGATATCTTCTCGAAATATATGCAGATAAAACAGTGCTACCGAATCCCTGCTACTTACAGCGTGTTTCACGGCGAGATATATGCTATTGAAAAAGAGGTCAACATTAGACAACAAAGTATAATTCGTCCTTCGAATATCATTATTTTTGTAGATAGGCCGCACTGAAAGCAATTGAATCTAAATCATCAAATATCATAAGGTCTCTCTTTGCTGGACATAGTACATTTCGACATAGCAATATTGAAGGGAATGAATTAGCAGATGAGATGGCCGGAAGAGGTGCTGAACTGCATACAGGAGAGGCCGACCTCTAAATACGGTGACTATCAATTTATAAACTAACCGCGAAGACTGTAAGGTCGCTAGAATCTTATGACCTAAGTTGCTCCAACAAGTGGATTATGCAGAAGTTGCCAAGATGAAGAGGAGATAAAATCTATCAACCACTTCCTATGTCTCTGTCCAGGACTTCAAACAAGGCTACTTTAATGTCTTGGGGATCCTTATTTTACTGGCTTGCAAGAGATAACGAAAGCAAGCTTATCGGATCTCCTCAACTTCATCTGGAAAATCAAATGGTTTAACAAGGATAACAAAGGTTAGCAACTCGCATCGCCTGGTAAAATTTTTTGAGAGCATCCCAATGGGCAATATATGTCTCCGAGTAGAAGTGCTGACAACTGTCAGCACGTGCCTTCCGAACATAACCTAACCTAGTGTGGGTTAAAATTTTCACACATATGCTCCATCGAGAATCTAAACTAGGAGTGATAAATTCAATCGTTCTGTCTGCGTTATCCCAATTTTGTTGATTAAAGATTCAGCTTTCATTTTGAGACAAATTTCTTCATCGAATTTATTCCAATTAAAATCAATGGAATTTTTAGCCGCTCTTGCTTCGTTTGCTAAAAAGATATTAACTTCAGTCATACTTCCTGTACCACCATTTTTTCTTTGCTTACGAAAAAATTCTTGTTTTGACTACTTTTTCAATTCTACTTAATTGTCTATATAAATTATTAAGTAGAAATGTATTATTTTTATTTTTTATTTATGTTTCTTCCGTTTCTTGTAAACATTTGCGATTGCATTGTGCATGCCAGCTAAAAGCTATAAAATAGAAAATAGAGCACAGTCGCTCAACTAATTATTGTGTTTTGCGCATAATTTTTAACCGATTTTGCTCATCAGTATCTTATTAAAAAGATATTTCAATTATCTATCAAATGAGTATATATTAATAACTATTGAAACAAGTAACAAAGATAAAAAATGACCTTGAATTGAAAAATTTCTGTTTTTTGTACTGAAAACCCAACTTTGCTCGAGTGGCGCAACATCATTTTTAATCCTATTGATCCAAAACTTTGGGAATATCATTTTTTTGGTCAATGGCATATTCCTAGGGGGTGCGCTCATTCAAAACATCATTTTTAATTTTCCCCCTTATAACGTGAGCCACCCTAAT